ATGTTTCTAGCCGCTTCGGCTGTTGAGTTTCCTTTCTTGAACTCATAAAGCATTATGTGCCTCAAATGATTCTTGGGTACTTCCATGTTAGCAGGGTTTTAATCAAACAAAATTTAATTTTATTGTTCTCTGGAATAAAATTTGATCAGTTTAAATGCATCTAAACATAAAAATAATGTTCAGCTCCATTAGACATTATAAAATACTCTTTAAATTTCGTTCATTTTAAAAAAAGGTAAAATTCGGACAGAACTTATGGGATGACCTGATATTTAAAAGCTCTGTTTATAATAAACAGTATTAACAACATTTACCGGCCTGAATTTCCGAGAAATTGTCATAGAAAATATGTGTCCTCCACCTATCGACAGACCGAATAAATGCTTCTAGACTCAAATACAAACAAGAAGAAGGGATTAAGCATAAATTACAAGAAACAGAATGCATGGTCATCAGTAAAAATATGAGCCCAAAATTCAATTTACAGCCCAGCGACATCAAATCAAGCAGATAACCCAAGAACACTAACCATTAAAGTTACACCACTACTAACCATGGGTATATCATACCCGATTTTGAAAATATCAAAAAAATATTAAATATAAATCTTTATTTGAAATATTTTACAAGCAGGCACTTCAAACTTTCTACTTTGAGTTGACATTAATAGGAACTGAAAAAAACATATTATTTAGGTAAGAAAATCAGGTACTGAAAATTGTAATTAAAAATAGGAAATTTTGGGCTGGGTACTATATACCCATGGTTAGTGTTCTAGGGTTAAATTTACACCACTACTAACCATCGGTATATCATACCCGATTTTGAAAATATCAAAAAAAAATATTAAATACAAATCTTTATTTGAAATATTTTACATGCAGGCACTTCAAACTTTGTACTTTGAGTTAACATTAATAGGAACTGAAAAAAACATATTATTTAGGTAAGAAAATCAGGTACTAATTAAAAATAGGTAAATTTGCTCTGGGTACTATATACCCATGGTTAGTGTTATAGGGTTAAATATCTAGGAAGTGTTTCAACAGAGAAAGGAAAGTGTAACACTGAGATTCGAAGACGCATTGCGATGGCCAAAGATGCCTTCCAAATGCTAAGCATAGTATTAAGAGAACTGGAAAATTTCGTTGGAAACAAAGAAAAGAGGACTGAATTGTTACGTAATATCTCTCCACCTGTATGGCAGCGAATTCTGGACAATCTCCTCAAAAATGATGAAGAGACTCAAAGCAATAGATTTTGGTTCTAAAGAAGGATACTGAGAATATCATCGACCGACTACGAACTAACTGACAACAAGCAACTGCTTCTTCTGCCTGGAGGATCATTCTAAACGTCGTACTGACCAGAAAGAACATGATGAGTTATATATAGACATTCTGTTACACATAGCCTCAGTGCCACATGGATCTGAGTCCCCCCCCCCTTCATCAACTTCTCTAAATTAAGCGTAGCGGTCTTCAAAAGAGAAAAGCAATTTGGAGGAGAATGATGTCATTGATTCAGATTACAGATGTGCAAATGAGGGAAGAAACTCATACTCCTCCAATCAAAAAGACTTCAACAACCTGATCGGAAATACTGGTTTCAAAATGTCCAATGTCGTTCATTTGACGGCCAGACTCAAATAGTGGAATTTGTTTGATGAAAGTTTACAAGTCGGGGTTCATAGAAAACGTCATCAGTGTTTTTCAAGCTCCACCCGCCTGCCAAGATGGGGGTTAATTCTGACACAATGTAACTTGTTTGTTCGAGGCAATTAAAATCTGTCTCTTTTTCTGAGATGAGGTATACACTGTTTACATTATTTGGATTATTGTCCTCATCTTTGTCACCATATTTCTTACAACATTTCGGTCCTTCAATATTTGTCTATATTTCTGAGATGAGGTATTATGTACACTATTTACATTATTCGGACTATTTTCCTCATCTTTGTCGCCATATTTATTACAACGTTTCGTCTGTTGTACGCTCCGGCCTTCTTCTTCGTCGAAATGAACCCTTTATTTCGTTCACTGGGGTAGACTGTTCTAGTTCTACGTGTCATGTCTAATGGATGTCAGTTATCAGTCATCTACTGCTAATTCCCCTCTCCGAGTTCTCCACCGCCTTAACCAGGTATTGAACTCACACTCTTTTGGGTGCTGTCACTGGATCAAACTAACGACTTTATCCTCTGTGTCATGTGCCTTGTGTATGAATTTCTGGGTATTATAAACCTAATGTCTTCAGCAACCATTTTTTACCAGGGCTCATATTACAATTTGTGATGTTATTATTGCAAGTTTTACCAGAGCTCATATTGCAATTTTTGTTGTTATTATCGCTTTTCTCTAGCACTCTTTATTACTAGTTCCCATATTGTATTCATTTCTATGCTTGTTCGGCTCAGGAGATTTTTGTAGCCTAGTATATGTGCTGATTCCTTAAGTTTACGAATTTTCCAATGATATTCTTTGTCTATGATCTCAACCTGGTATCAAAAGTGATCGTCCGCTGCTTACAACACCGAGTAAAAGTCATAAGACCCAGATACATTAGATAAAGTATTGGTCAGTATAAGTAGTATCCTATAACGTAACAACTGCCCTGGGTACATGTCAGCAGCCCCCAAAAACTGGGATAGGCGGGTACAAGAGGAGGAGGACAACTTATTCAGAAAACAAAGATGAGAACAATAGTCCCAATAATGTAAATAGTGCAATTAAAATTGCTTGTAACTCTGCTCTTTATCAACAGTTTATCCAGGAGACTCAATATACGCTGCGACATAACGGTACATGTCTTCCCCTGCTTCACTTGGTGCAGTTCAAAGAAGAATACAGCAGATCTTGCTAGATGCCTTAAAATATGAAGAGAACGATTGAGAGATTATTGGAGACTACAAAATGGTGACCTTCCTGATTGGCCTCCAAGGAGGTTTTACATATCTTCCGTGTTACCTTTGCCTTTGGGACACCAAGGATACTGGGGGACACTACCTCATTCAGGACTGGCCACAGTGAACAGAATTCAGTGTGGGGAGGAACAACGTCAAATGGGAGCCACTGTTGGACCCCAGAAAATATCGTTTCTTCAACTTATCTTGAAATTGGGCTCATGAAAAAATGTGTTACAACTCTAGATAAAGAGTCTACAGCCTTCCATTCCTTTTAAGATTTCTTCCCTAAGCCGTCTGTAGGAAAAATCAAAGCCGGCGTCTTCGTCGGACTACAAATAAAGAGTGAAAAGACTTCCCCAAGAATCTCACTAGAACAGAGAAACAGCGTGGAATAAGTTTGTTGCAGTGGTTCGGGGATCTCTATGGAATCACGAAGCTGACAACTTAGTTGAACTTGTTGAGACCCTGGTGAAGAACTAGGGCAAAACGTAATCCAGGACGTCCTTCGAAGTACATATTCTTGACGCTCATCTCGATAAATTCAAAGATAACCTGGAGATGTACTCAGACGAGAGATTCAAACGCTTCTCCCAGGACTCTGGACTTTGAACGGCGCTAAAAATGATCGTATAATGAAAACATATTTTGGCAGACGATAAATCGTGGCTGATATGTGAAAGTAATTTAAAGAATCAGCGTAAATTGCGAAAAACTACTCACTGCTATTTTTTGAGGAGGAGGTCATTCTTCTGTAATCGTCGAATAAATAAATGCTACTTGTGAATCATATGTCGTTTTGTTCCTATTTTGCGTAAACGAGATTGTTCACTTTCGCCAGTTTTCCTAATGCGAATAGTTCAATTTCAGAAATAGTTCAGAAGACAAATATTAGTCATTTTTTTATACTTACTAGGCGTAAACAAATACAAAATAACAGTTGTTATCTAAAGACTAAACTCATGTTACATAGTGTGATTCTTTGACTCAGAAATACAATCATGTGTAAGGAATCGGTCTGAATTGTAGCTGTAGTAATTGTGTGTGTTTTTAACGATAGCACATAAGGAACGAGCCTACAGAAAGTCCGCCATGTTGAAAGTAGATTTAAAAGCACATTTTCTTTACAGCTATCTGTGACCTGCTTCTGTGTCAGCTTGTCTGACGAGGGGTAATTCTTTAGGTAATTCTTTAGCATTATATTTGAGTATTGTTTAAAGACATGAGGCAGTGAACATTGTAAAAGAACCTTTGGGCTTGTTTCGTTTAAAGCGAAAAATATGTGGGGATATAAAAGGCTTTAAAGAATTAACAATTAATATTTATATGTATTTATGAAAATAAATGATAAATAATTCAGCAATGATTGGACAAGATGTATGAAATTAACAATATAATATTGAAATACAAGATGCCAACAATCAGTAGTGTGAATCGGAAAAATAAAGTCAAAATAGTATGATATGTTGCTCTTTAGTCAAATTGCATGCCTTGCTTTTTGTCTTTTAAATTCTCTGCTTATTCTTTTCTATTCCGATTCCAAATTTATGTTGTCCTGGATATGACGATAAACTACATCCGCGTCCTGAGTTCATATTCGCCAGTTTTCATTTTGGTCAAAAAAATAAGATTTGAAGGAAATATTAGTCATTTTTTATACTTACTAGACGTAAACAAATAGGAAATAACAGTTGCTATCTAAAGACTAACCTCGTGTCACACAGTGTGATTCTTTGACTCAGAAATACAATCATGTGTAGGGAATCGGGCTGAATTGTAGCTGTAGTAATTGTGCATGTTTTTAACGATAGCACATAAGGAACGAGCCTACAGAAAGTCCGTCATGTTTAAAGCAGATTTAAAAAGACATTTTCTTTACAGCTATCTGTGTGACCTGCTACTGAGTCAGCTTCTGTATCGAGCAATAATTCTTTTTTGGCAACAAGATTAGCGTTATATTTGAGTATTGTTTGAAGATATGAGGCATGTGAAAATTATAAAAGAAACCTTTGACCTTGTTTTTTTTTCAAAATGGAAAGTATTTGGGGGATAAAAATGCTTTGAACATAATTTGGCTATTAGAATTTAATATTCAGCAATGAAAACTAAAGACGAAAGGAATGGGGAAGGAAACGGTAAATAGTGTAGACAATAAAAGAAAAAAAAATGAATACAGGAGGGAGTCGATAGTTTTTGAAGCGGGAAAAACGATGCCTTTAACCTTTTGTTATGAAATATAAATCATTATTTTTTGGTTTCATGTCAGGTTTTGAATGGTTCCGATCAGTTCTTTTAAAGGGAACAAAGAGAAATGCGAATAAAAATATATGATGTCGTTTAAATATATAATAAAATTTTGAAGATAGCAAGCCAAAAGCAAGGCAATAAACAGATGAGAATACGAAAAGGCTTAAAACAAAGAGAGAGACAAAAGTAACACATACATCTATCTATCTATCTATCTATCTATCTATCTATCTATCTATCTCAATCTGTTAATAACTATCTATCTATCTCTGTTCATATCTTTCTATCTCAGTCTGTTTATATCTGTCTGTCTATCTTTCTATCACAGTCTGTTCATATCTCTCTATCTCAGTCTGTTATTATCTATCTAACACAGACTGCTAATGTCTCTATTTATCTCAGTGTCTTCCTATCTCTCTCTATATATATCTGTCCGTCTGTCTGACTGTCTATCTATTTACCTATCTATCCATCTATTTATTTATCTATCTATCTATTTATATGTCTTTCGGTACGTATATGTCTATCTCATTCTATCCATATCTATCTATCTATCTATCTATCTATCTATCTATCTATCTATCTATCTATCTCAGTTTGTTCATATCTATCTATCTATCTGTCTGTCTGTCTGTCTGTTAATATCTATCTATCTATCTATCTATCTCAGTGTCTTTCTATCTATATATCTGTACGTCTGTCTGTTTGTCTGACTATTTGCCTATCCGCTTACCTATCTATACATTCTATTATTAAGTGTTGGCTTTTTCTTTTTTATTATTAAGGCATCCATTATTTTTAATCTTTTTTTTTCTTAGAAAAGAAATTGAAATATAAAAAAATGGAAGGCTTAATAATAAAAGAAAAGAAAAAGCCAACACTTAATAATATTAACTACGAACACAGCCACAATGTGCTGACTGTGCTCGAAATATCTCTATAACACTAAAGAACATAAACACACACCCAATTAAACCGAAAAAATAAAATCATCCTTGATTATGGCTAAAAGTACAGCTGAAAGCGCTCGGAATTAGAGAACATTTGAACAGTTTCTACACACTTTGTGTCCAAAAAAGAAAACACTTGTTTGAACACAAGAAAAATGAAATAAAAAGCTTAATCGTAATACGTTGTCTGTTGTTTATAATGAAACAAGCATTAATGAAGGGTTGCTGCCTAAATACACACAGGCGCACACACACACACGCACACATATATATATAATTATTTATTCGAAAATTATAACATGCATATGTTATAAAATCAATACAAAATAGCCATTTTGTTTCAACACTTCATGATGGGTTTGAATGTAAATAAAGGGTGAATTAGATAGATAGGAAACCCTTTATTCTACATTCAACACCATCACTTGATAACACACCAGAAGTGTTGAAACAAAATGGCTATTTTTGTATTGATTTTATAACATATGCATGTTATAATTTTCGAATAAATAATTATATTTGCTCTACTCCGTATTGAGCACTCTTTTAAGAATAGTATTTGTTGGTTATTGGAATTTATTCCGTATGCACCAATCCTATATTGTATATATATATATATATATATATATATATATATATAAGAAAAAAAAATTGTATAGACACTTTAAGAAAGGAAAAACTTGTCTTTTGTAGTGTTTAGACTTTTACCTATGGGGGACCGAAAAAGATATTGTGCATTACAGAAAACTGTCCACATTGACGCCCCTTAGACAAGAAATTGAAAATACAACTGCAGCAATCTCACTGGGTAATTTGGACAACGTTGACTAAGCATAAGTTTGCCGTATTAACAAATGTGTGGAAGCTAAAGGCCACCATTTTGAGCATCTCTTATGGTTGTAAAGTCCAAAGGTGACTTGTATTAATCTTGTATTTAGTATTACACTATATATACAAGTTTTTCGTTTCTTGCAGTGTGTATACATTTTTGGTGGACTCTATACGCACACATATACGCACATACAAACGCAAACACATACACACACACACTGTTTTAAAAAACATAACCCCTTGAAGAATAGTCATTACTAAGAAACTTCGAAGCCGGGGAAAACAACAACAAAAAATTGATATTAAATAATCTTTTTATATAATATTATTAATTCTCTATTTCGATATATATATATACATATATATATATAAACAGTATTAGGACTATTCTCCTCATCTTTGTTGCCATATTTATCACATGTATGCTCCGGCCTTCTTCAGGTGGTTAGAATGTCGAACTGAACCCTTTAATTCGCTCGCTGGGGTAGTCTGTTCTAGTTTCATGTGCCATGTTTAATGGATATCAGTTATCAGTTATCTCCTGTCAATTCCCCTCCACTGCCTTAATCAGGTATTGAACTCACACCTCTTTGTTTCCTGTTGCTGGAGCTAACCAATGCCTTTATCCACTGTGCCATGTATCTTTAAGGACATCTGTATATGAATTTCTGGGACTTATAAAATTACTGTCTTCAACAACCATTTTTACCAGTGCTTATATTGCAATTTTTTTGCTGTTATCATATATGTTTTTACCAGATCTCATATTGCAATTTTCTTTGTTATTATTGCTTTTCTATGGCACACCTTATTACTGGTTCCCATATTGTATTCATTTCTATGTTTGGTCGGCTCAGGAGATTTTTGTGGCCTAGCATATGTGTTGATTCTTTAAGTTTACAAATGTTCAGAAAGGTTTCAAATGCAATATCTATGGATAGGTTTGAAAATCGTCAAGTGGAATCACACGCTATCTGAAATAAGCTTTTAGTGGCAAAATTCGAGTTGAAATAAAGCTAAAATGTTACTGAGGAATGGCTGAGAAAAATTAAATTGCTCTAAAATGTAGTGATATTCTATCAGGAGTTGAAATTTCACCGTCTACGTGTCTATCTATGTGTATTTGTATTTATGGGTACTTGTAAATTACTTTCATAGGTTATTAACTGTTTCCCCTTGTTTCATTTTGTCTTCAGCGTGTCATGTAAATATTGAATTCTTCTCATCTTTATTGTTATATTCACGATGTATTGACCGTTGTACTCTCCAGTCTTCTTCAGGTGATAACGTCGGAATTTGAAATTGAATCCTTTATTTAGTCCACTGGAGTATCTTGTTCTCATTCCACGTGCCATGCCTTTTCATCTATCTCAGTAGTTCAGTTCAAAATTCCAACGTATATCACCTGAAGAAGGCCGGAGTGTACAACGACCGAAACATCGTGAATATGACAATAAAGATGAGGACAACAGTCTGAACAATGTAAATATTGTAAATAGTTACAATACCTCATCTCAGAAATATAGACGAATCCTGAAGAAGGCCGGAGCGTACAACGACCGAAACGTCCTGAATTTCTGTTTGTTTTGTGAGCTTTACTGTTCATTGAGCACTTTTGCGTAAGTAGGTGTCTGGCTTTTTTCTTTTGTTTTTTTTTTTCTTTATTATTCATTTGTTTTTATAGAATTATCGATGCTTTTTCGTTTTATTTTGATATTTTTTCCTTGCCAAGTTTCGTGTTGGTAAATATATATATATATATATATATATATATATATATATATATATATATATACCTGTCTATATTATATATATAGATGTGGTACTGCAAATGATGTTGTTCTCATCTTTATTGTAATATTCACGACGTTTCGGCTGTTGCAGGCTCCGGCCTACTTCAGGTGATTTGAATTTCGAACTGAACACCCATTTCGTCCAACCATTTGTTCTAGTTCCACGTACCATGTCTTCCGGGTGTCTCGGTTATCTACCTTTAACTAAATCCTGTTTTTGTTCACCACTGCTGTAGCCAGGTATTGAACTCACAACTCTTTGGGTCAATCACTGGATCCAACCAATGCTTTTATCCACTGTGCCATGCGATAAAGAATGTTTGTTCTGTTTGTTCTCTAAGAAATAAGTATAGACATGGGATGCAAACCTTTTTGAAGACATACGATAGTTCTTTATTAAAAACCTATTTTAAATTCCTTTTTACCATTTTTTACGTTTCGTGTCATCTTTTGTATTTTCCTATGTAGGTTTTAACGTAAATTGTTAAATATATTTTTTCAAAGCGCTTTCAGCTTTCATGTGATATCATCAAAGAGTTTTTATATTTGTTATCATAAAGGTTTTTTTTTTATATATGTGAAGAAATTGTGCTTAACTTGATAGTTTTCGAGAGTGGGAAATTTACCGTCTGTGGATACCATGTCACTCGGAAACGAACATAAAGAAAAACAATGACTGCACATAGCGAAACTTTTAACAATACAAAAATAATAAATCTTGTATATGTGTGTGCGTGTGTGTGTCCATATATTGAATATTGTTGCCACACCGTGGTCTGGGGCTTCTGCTATGTATTTACAGGTTCTTGACAAACTACGAAGAAATGTCTGCAATGTTATCAGTCTTGGGTTGTCATCTCAACTTTAGTCATATTCCCACCGCATATTCCCTGAGCCTTTTCTATAAATATTATCATGGTAATTGTTCTGATGAGTCCTCCACAATGATAGCGCGCATTTACAAACATAAATGAGGTACTAAATTGTCATTTATGAATGTGAATCAATTGCTACGTCAGCTGCGAGGAAAGTTGGGTCATTCTGTCATGCCAGAAAGTTTTTCACTTCCGGGTTCATCTTTGCACATTTACACATCTACCATTCGACCCTGCATTCAATAATGAATTTTTGACCTGGAATTCTTTATTCATTTGCGCCATTTTTTAATCTAGTATTACTATTAATAGTAAATAAAGTATTTTTAAAATTTGATTGACGTGACATGGAACAACTGCTAAGTCTACTGCAAGGAAATTTGGTTTACTGTGTTATGCCAAAAATAAAAAATCTCTTCAGAATCCATTTTGCATTTATAAATCTACCATTCGACCCTGCATTCAATAATGAATTTTTGACCTGAATTCTTTATTCATTTGCGCCATTTTTTTAATCTAGTATTACTATTAATAGTAAATAAAGTATTTTAAAATTTGATTGACGTGACATGGAACAACTGCTGAGTCTGCTGCAAGGAAATTTGGTTTACTGTGTTATGCCAAAAATAAAAAATCTCTTCAGAATCCATTTTGCACATTTATAAATCTACCATTCGACCCTGCATTCAATAATGAATTTTTGACCTGGAATTCTTTATTCATTTGCGCCATTTTTTAATCTAGTATTACTATTAATAGTAAATAAAGTATTTTTAAAATTTGATTGACGTGACATGGAACAACTGCTGAGTCTGCTGCAAGGAAATTTGGTTTACTGTGTTATACCAAAAATAAAAAATCTCTTCAGAATCCATTTTGCACATTTATAAATCTACCATTCCTCCGTGCTTTGAATATTGTTGCCATGTCTGGTCTGGTGTTCCTGTTGTATATCTCGAGATTCCTGACAATATCCAAAGAAAGATCTGTAATGTAATCGTTCCTGATTTGGTATCTTGGCTTCAGTCATTCTCCCACCGACGTAACGTGGCTTCCCTCGATCTTTTCTACAAATATATTCATAATAACTCTTCTGTCGAGCTTTTTACTCTGGTGACCCGAATTCACGAATTTAAATGTGTTACTAGATTGGCAAATATTTTACCGTTGAATTAAATGAGTTAAATGCAACTGCCATTCTATTTTCTTCGTACTTCCCACGTTTGGAACTTACTTCTGTTTCCTTGCTTCCGTTATAACTACAAACTTCAAAACTTTACATGCAACTTCAATATTCTATCTTCTTGAACATCCGTTCATCTTGTGTCCTTTCATCAATCCTCCCTATTCTCAGCATTCTCATTCGTTTTCTTTCCCTCCGTACTTGTGGCATTACCTCCTTGTTTAGGATGAAATGACAATATATATATATATATATATATATATAATGGACAATGTACTCTCCCGTCGGTTTCGACGTATGAGGATCTGACAGCTTAATTGATTCAGTTATGAAATTTTGTGCGATAATCTTAAGTGGCACTTAAGACCCGCTAGTGATTTACAAAGGAGGTCATACAAGAGTGAGGATTGTGAGATGATATCACTGTTAGATTGGCTGACCTTTTAGATCTTGCTCTCGCTTCTTGAAGATGATTCAGACAAGCAGATTGAAAACTGCTGAGTCCACTAAAAACACGCTGATCTCCATTCTACCCGTTCCAAAACTAACCGCTCAAGGGTGTTATGTGGTATATTGACAGCTAACAAGTCGCTTTTCAGCTTGTCTTTGTATCTTAGCCATGGGCGTCCTACATTCCTGTAGCCTTGATCTAACTGGCTGTACATTAGGATCTTGAGTATCCTGTCATCAGACATTCTCAAGACATGACCAGTCCACCATAACTGAGACTGTATGAGAAAAGTCTCGATTCCTCCAATATTACACCTGTTAAACATGTCTACGTTAGATGTCCTATCTTGAAGGTTAACTCCACATATATAGATAAACTGTAGGAATATAGTTTTAAGGTATGCTATAATTATGGAATAAAGTACTCAATATCAAGGATAGAGCGTATGCAAATATAAAAGTGGACATTGGAGAGTTGAGTTACTAAAGGGAAATAACTGGAACTGAAATAACCAGAAAAGTCATGACACATGGAACGAGAACAATCTACCCCAGTTGACGAAATAATGGGTTCGATTGGAAATTTCAAAGTAAATCACCTGAAGAAGGCTGGGGCGTACAACTGCCGAAACGTCATAAATAAGACAATAAATACGATAGTCCGGACAATGTAAATAGTGTATATAGTTACAATACTCATGATGATTGCGCTAAGCATGAAACAGTCTCAGATTTGGCTTCAATATATATATATATATATATATATATATATATAGCAAGAACACCAGATCATATATGGTAGCATGTAAAGACGAATGGTAAACTTATAAATATCTAAGATAGATTCTGGCGAGACGTAGTGAACTAGTTTTCTTAGCTGCAGACTTAACAATGGATTCAATGTACCGTAAATTCCCCATGTATAATACGCCTTCATCCATAATACGCACCGCTAAAATTGTGCTGAAAGTGTGGGAAAATGCTTCTACTCGCGCATAATACGCACCCCTTGTTTGGCAATCAAACCCTATAAATTGTACCTCCCCAATTTCATTACGGCTAGTGTTTCCTAGTGTTTTTTTTTAAATGGTTTTAAACATAGAATAATATCATTCTAATTTAGTTTTATGATAATTCTTATTTTATTTTACGGCAATTTTTTAAAGATTTTTGTAGCTGTGCATAATACGCAGCCATGATTTTGCTTATTATTTTTAGCAAAAAATATATATTATACATGGGTAATTACGATAATCATTCTACTTTCTATTTCAGTCGAAAATTTAGTCCAAGAAGGAGCAATGAGTCACTCTCCTGAGTCCCATGGTTCTATTTTATTTTTTAGCTACAAGCAGTTGTCTGAAAGAAGCCTTACCCCGAGAACGAACCTCTGATGTTTGACCTGAACTGCAAAGCAAAAAAAAAACAAGTAGAAACTTCCGCGACGAAACTCTCAGAATATTTAAATCATTAAGAATGGTAAATTCATATTTGTCTTTGGGTAAAAAGAATTTTACCTGAAGTTTATTGATCTTTAATATTTTTATTATTTTCTTTTACGCTTGCGATATACGAGGTGTGATCAAAGATTATGGAGAATGTTGCTATGGTAAAGTATGCAGAGTAAAGCTTCTTGCCACAGATTGACCTTGAACTCTGTAGCATTATAACATTCTCGTTAACTTAAGTTAATTATAGCAGTGCTTGGAAGGAAAGTGTGTAGAGTGAGGTCTTCTCATCCCTATCATCGATGTACCATCAATGATTGCCTGTGCAGCAATTTTGTGGGCAAACACAACATTTCCCAGGTCCAACAACCACCATATCTCCTAGATCTTGACCCTTGTAACTTTAAAAATTGAATCTCAATTGAAAGGAACAAAACTGGAAGACGTCAAGTAAATCAAAGAGAATGCGATGTGACAAATTAAATTCTGGTTTTGGAAGTACTGACTTAAAAGACAACGGGATATCCATAAAACTGGATTTCACAATGAGACAAACATACCTTCGTAAATGAGGTAGAAAGAATCTTTTCCTCAGTAGAAACAACGCTGGATAAATTGTGTGGCTTCAAAAAGAGACTACTTCGAAGGAGATTAAATGATATGTGTTATAGTTTTCTTTTTATATCACCAGACCCACTAATTTTATTATCAGGTCTCGTACATGTATTGTTCACCTTGTCATTCTCGTAGAATTTCACAGAGCTGCATAATTTCATTTATAGATACCAAAAATCTCCAGAGAACTTATGGTGAATATCGTAAATGTGGTTTTCTTGCGTTGTGGATTTGATTTGTCTAATAAATACTTCAGATGCAGTCAGGTAGTTCAGTGTTAGCCATTAATATTTATTTCAATTTGAAAAATCTAAGAAAAATCTCAAATATGATATGGTTATGGGAGCAATGTATAAAAGAATAGAGAAGTGGCGACAGAGTGAGTCAAGCATGACATCAAGGCTGTAGCAGCAGTAACACTAATAGATGAGGCAGTAAGAATATAGAGTTGGCCAAAACTTAGTGTGTTTAAATTCTGGTTTGGGGAGTACTGACAACATACCTTCGTAAATCAAATCGCGGCTTCAGTTCGAAATTCTATGAAGTTAATGGATTAACAGACAAAGGAAAGCACAACGGTCGAAACTTCGTTATAATAACAAAAATAAAGGCGTAAAACGAATAACGGATCACAAGCAATTTTCAGTTGTTCCAGACGCAACTAAAACATAGTTTCAATTAAAGTTGAGAAAATTTCCTCTTGTAAGATAAATCTTAGAGATGAAATCGGCTGATAAAAAGAAAGACTTTCCTAATCTATTATACTCTCCCGACCATGCTTCAAATGATTATTACTTGTTAGATGACACATAAAGAGAACTACAGGAGATCACAGACAAGATAGTAAAGGAAAGCGAGAAGAAAGGACTGACTATCAATTGTAAGAAGTCAGAATATATTGTCGTTAGCAAGGTTAATTGATTCAGCCATTTCCTACAGCTTATCAAACATTTGCAGGTTATTTAAAGCCAGAAAATATTTTTAGATTTTAAGATTTTTTTTTAAATTATAATGATTAAGTTATACACGTCTTACCCATAGTTGCGCGGAGGAACGGTGGATTCATGCCTTTCCCAAGAGTATTTGCGCGTAAGTGAATATAACGAACTTAACGGAAATTCGAACTCAGCTCTCCTATTAACAATTCCGAGACATTATCAGTAAACACCAACCGCACATCCAAGCTTACAGCACCTGGGATTCCCAAACGGTCACTCATCTAGGTACTGACCAGACTCGACGTTGCTTAACTTTGGTGATAATACGGGAACTTTTCAGCTAGAAAAAACACAAGATACGAACTACAAATTGGCGATATCAGCATAAAAATATACGGAAGCTTAAATTGCTGTATACCCTTCATTGGGGTAGTGGGGGAGAATTGTCTGTTCTCATTTCGTCTAGCCGGTGATCCCTATTCGTTTTAGTTCAATCCTCTTCTTCTCTTGGTCGCGAAATGTTCTTTGGGTTCAGAAAGGAAAAGCATCAACATTTTATTAAGCACGTCGACGGGTACATTTCCGATCTAGTGGGGGTTACTACAGACACACACACACATACACACACACACATTAGGGAAGCGCTTTCAAACACGAAATGTCACACATCCATTTACTTTGACATGTAACGACCAACTCTCGAAATAGTTCTCACCACTTTTTTGTGGGGGGTGCAAAAACGCATTTCAAAAGGTCTAGTTAATCTGACATCCAAACAGCAACTCTCGAAAAACATTAATCTATAAAGCATTCCCATGCTCGGATTAGCCAATCAAAATCGACATTCCTATTTTGTCTAACATCTGACCTTAAAGGTCAGCCTCATAAGGTCTGAGCCAAAATACACTGCCACTAAAAAATGATAGTTTGGAGCTATTATTTAACAAAATATCTTGGACGTGTTTTGAGGATAGAAAATGCGACACCGGAATCCAAACGCACATTTGAATAGCAAAAGATGCCTTTCACAAGTTAAGCAAAGTGCTTAGAAGCAGAGAAATTTCGTTCGAAACAATGAAAACATATCTTATTGTTATATATTATGAATGTCTTTACATTATATGACTCGTTGCAACTTTCTCAGGTTAACGCTTTCCGCTGACATGAAGTGGAAAGATTATATTGAATTAATTGCTAGGTCTGTTGCTATGAATGTTGGTTCAAAAGTCGTGCTAGTTAATTTCTTGTCAAAATCTCAGTATCTGTCTATATTTCTGAGATGAGGTATTAAGTATACTATTTACATTATTCGGACTATGGTCCTCATCTTTGTCGCCATATTTATTACAACGTTTCGGCCTTTCACTATCTGTCTATATTTCTGAGATGAGGTATTATGTACACTATTTACATTATTCGGACTATGGTCCTCATCTTTGTCGCCATATTTATTACAACGTTTCGGCCTTTCACTATCTGTCTATATTTCTGAGATGAGGTATTATGTACACTATTTACATTATTCGGACTATTGTCCTTTTCTTTCTTTCTATCGGTCATTCTTTCTGTCTGTCTGTCTTTCTTTCTCATCACAATTTTCTGCCTTTCTTTTTTATCTCCCATGCTCTATTACCTTTCCCTTCTTTCCTATTGTCATATAGGAAAAAATGAGTAATTACCGTCACCGAGGTTCAAGCGTGACAGTCTATACTTATGAATAAATGTTTTCCGCCAGGCTACTGACTGCAGTGACTATGAAGTGACTATTGAGTGGAACTATCCAGTCGAATTAGTGTGAATTGTTGAGCGTCAATGATCTGTGTTTTGAATTAGGATTTACTGGACATTAAGCCAAGTCTCGCTACTAACAAGGTATTCACTGAAATGGTTATCCTTGGTTGACTTTTAATTCTTTGTTCTTGTTAAGTATTTGCAGTTGTAATAAAAAAAAAACTGTTTTATTTTAACATTGAAGTCTTGAGCTATATATAACTATTAACGACTACCGTCACAAAACATATTTTCCTTCCTTCCATTCGTTCTTTTTCAATATTTCTTTCTTATGCATATTTTATTACGTTATCTTTATTTATTATTTCCCACTATTTACATTATTCGGACTATTGTCCTCATCTTTGTTGCCATTTTTATTACAACGTTTCGGCCGTCGTACGCTTCGGTCTTCTTCAGGTGGTTGGAATGTTGAACTGAACCCTTTATTTCGCTCACTGTGGTAGACTGTTCTAGTTCCACGTGCCATGTCTAATGGATGTCAGTTATCAGTTATCTCTTGTTAATTCCCCTCTCCAAGTTCTTCTCTACCGCCTTAACCAGATATTGAACTGACACACTTTGGGTCCTGTCACTGGATCTAACCAACGCCTTTATCCACTGTGCCATGTGTCCTTGAAGAGATCAGTGTATGAATTTCTGGGTTTTATAAAACTAATGTCTTCAGCAACCATTTTTTTGTAATAAATATGGTGACAAAGATGAGGACAATAGTCCGAATAATGTAAATAGTTTACATAATACCTCATCTCAGAAATATAGACATACTAAAAGACCGAAACGTTGTAATAAATATGGCGACGAAGATGAGGACAATAATCCGAATAATTTAAATAGTATACATAATACCTCATCTCAGAAATATAGACATACTAAAAGACCGAAACGTTGAAATAAATATGGCGACGAAGATGAGGACAATAGTCCGAATAATTTAAATAGTGTACATAATACCTCATCTCAGAAATATAGACAGATACTGAAGGTCCGAAACGACGTAATAAATATGGCGACGAAGATGAGGACAATAGTCCGAATAATTTAAATAGTGTACATAATACCTCATCTCAGAAATATAGATAATTATTACTTTCCTTTCTTTCTTTCTTCTTTTCTGCTTTCTTTCATTCAACCCTTACATCCTTTTTCAACTTTTTTCTTCCTTTCTCTCTTTAACGTTTTTCTAAATTTCTTTTTTATTTCATTCTCATCATTTTATTATATTTTGGCTTTTTTTTCAAACTATTTTTCTTTTTCTTTCATATTTTCCTTCTTGCATCCTCCCTTCTTTCCTTCTTTCCTTCCTATTCTTTCCTTAATTTATTTCCTTTTTCTTCATTCATATTTTCTTCCCACTCGTTTCTTTTTTTCCAGCTTTTCTTTCTTATACTTTCTTTCTTTTTTTCTTTCTTTCTTTCTTTCTTTCTTTCTTTCTTTCACCTCTTTCTTATCTTCTCTTTTATTTCTTTCTCATCATTTCTTTATTTCTGATCTTCCTTTTCCATCTTTTCATATTTTCCTTCTTTCCTTCATTTCCTTCCTTTTGTTCATTTTCAACGTTTCTTTCTTTCTTCACCGTTTTTCTTTCCACCGCTTGATTTCTTTCTCATCAATTTATTTTTTTTTTCTTTCTTTCGTTTTTCTCCTTTTGTTTTTATATGAGTTATACTTTCTTTCTTTCTTTCTTTCTTTCTTTCTTTCTTTCTTTCTTTTATCGCATCTTTTTCATCGTATGTCTATTTATTCATTTCTACTTAACATTCTGGAGTTGCACGTTTACCTTATTTTCCTTCGCAGGGATGTTCTTCCTTCATTTGTGACCGACAAGCATACAAATTTGTTCAGTCCGAATTAACGGCATCACTGAAGTTCGTGACTTTATAACAACCAATTACACCAGAAATAATTTGCATTACAAATTACTTAGAAACGCATGGACCTTTGAACAAACACTCATGACCAAACATATCCTCTGACACACACACACACACACACACACACACACACACACACACACACACACACAGACAGACAGACAGACAGACATTATTATATGGATATGCTAAAATGTTTACGCAGATTTGCAAGAATGACTCTCCGGTCGTTGATCGACGCGGGCTGTTGACCCTTTTACAGCGTATGAGGGTCAGCCAACTGAGTTCCTAGGAACCGACAGCCAGACAACCTGCACATATGATTTGATTAGAGTGGTCAAGGTTCTGTGCAGAACCAACTACACTTTTTGAAGAACCTAATACAGGTTTTGAATTCAGAGTTTTCTTCTCCTAGACCAGCTGCCATCCAAGGCTATAGGATGTCCTGCTATTTACCCATAGCTTGGGGAGAAGAAGAAGATTCATACCTTTCCCAAGGGTATTAGCACGTAAGTGAATGTAACGGATTCAACTGGAATTTGAACTCGACTCTCCGATTCCTCAATTTGAGCCGCTATCCATGACTCTATCGTGTGCATGCATGCATATATATATATATATATATATATATATATATATATATATATATATATATATATATATATATATGTGTGTGTGTGTGTGTGTGTGTGTGTGTGTGTGTGTGTGCGCGTTTCTATAGGGATAAGAGTATAAATACTGGCATATGCACATAAATTCAATCAATAATAAATAAAAATTTAATTATAAACCTAACCTCTTACAATTAATATTTTAAGTACTTTAGATACCAACAAACGAAACAAGAAATCGAAATAATAGCCACGTGGGGACTTATAAAAAATATTTATCATTTAAACATTAATATATATATATATATATATTCGAGGCACGGTGGAGTAATGGATCGGAGAGCCGAGTTCGAATTCCAATCGAATCCATTACATTCATTTATGTGCTAATACCCTTAGGAAATGTGTGAATCCTCTTCTTCTCCCCCCAGCTATGGGTAAATAACAGGACATCCTATAGCCTTGGATGGCAAATGGTCTAGAAGAAGGACAACTCTGAATTCAAAACCTGCGGAGGGTCGTTTGGGGACCTTGTGACGCGTAGTGCACCAGGTCTTTGTATTCGGCCCTTCAAAAAGTGTGGATGGTCCTGCACGAAACCTTCACCACTATAATCAAATCTCATGTGCTGGTGTCGGACTGTCAGTTTCCTAGGAACTGATCTGCTTGACCCTTGATATTTTATGGCTTAACCCAATTTTTGGGTGTAGTGTATATTTATAAGAAATAGCTTATATTTCCATTTCATTCGCCTTCTCCCTCTCCCTCTCTCTCTCTCTGTATATATATATATATATATATATATATATATATATTCACACAAGATTACAACGCTCTAACGTCATTCCTTCATAATCAGTCTATAATCTTTTCAGCTCATCCTCGTTCATCGCCTTGACTATTTCGTCGGGTGTAATCAATGTTTCCAGAATACCACTGATTCCCTTAAAGCCGCCATCCATAATCCGGGTAATGCCCAGTATCAAGTACCGACCATGTGATGCATGCATTTCAAATATTCCGGCCCCACATTGAGGCCATCACTAAAGCTTAAGGAATTTACATGTAATTCAACCATTACTCCGTACTATATTTTGTATCTATGAATTTAGTTGATTGGAAGATGCGACTATTTTTTCTTATGGTCTTCAAGGTGTCCTCAAATATCTTACGCACGCTATATATTGGTATTTAAATATATGAGGACACACACGCACAGTTATATGCATTTACCCCTTCCCCCCCCACACACACATACATTTGTAGCACGCAGTAAATATATCGCGATTGTTTCCGAAGCACACGAGCAAAATGGCTAAACAACATGTTCCATCGGTGTAAAAGTTTGCAAAACACCTGCAGATCTCGGGAGACAAATGCGTATACATTAAAGCACATTTTTTTTTTCACTGTGACTTTATTTGTCGTCCTCGAAGAGAGACTCCACCATATATATATATATATATTATAAAGAGATAATCATACATTGAATCAATTAGCAATATTAATGCAATTAAAGGCGAAATCTCTTCACTAACAGACTTAATATAAGCATTAACCTACTAACAGTCCACTGAATGATGCGATCCTTATGTATAAAATTGGTGTCAGATGAATCGGGTGTATTTTTAGGGCAGCTAGTACGATATTATTATATAACCGTTAATAAATAACATTTTCTTTAAAAAAATCTTCCGGTCTACAACACATTTATTTCGCCTTCGAGGTTTGATTTTAAAGATAAAAATTACAGCCTGACGATGAAAACATGAGGTTTTTCAAAGTACTTGCTGCTCTAAAAATGCACCTCATCCATCTGACAACAATTTTATTCATAAGGATCACATCATTCAGTGCATTGTTAGTAGGTTAATACTGAAACAGAGTTTGACACTTAATTTTAATAATTATATTGAAGTTTTCAGCTGTTTTTGAAGCATGAGAACTCTTATGTAGCGAAAGAATCAAATTTTTAAAAAATAATTATAATTTAGGCTCTACTTTTGTATCGAGCACTGTTTTTTAAAAATAAAAACAAAAATACTAAAGAACTTCGGATTATTTACCTAACCAGTTCTTTCCTATTTTCTATATACTTTTACACACACACACACACACACACACACACACACACACACACACACATATGTTTCTGAGATGAGGTATTGTAATTATTGACATTATTTGCATTGTGTTCGAACTCTTGTCCTCATCTTTATTTCCATATTCACGACATTTCGGTCGTTGTATGCTCCGGCCTTCTTCAGGTATTTGGAAAATAGAAAAATCATGCATACTTGACCATATATGGAAGGAAAAGGAAGATCACCGCTCCCTGTACGATGAAATTGAAATAATATACAGGGAACATCAGAGTTCTGTTAAAAATTCCAGTCACCTGAAGATGGCCGGAGAATATGGCAAAAAAGTTCATCTTTTTTGCCATATACAATAGTCCGAATACAATGTAGATAATGTAAATAATTACAATACTTAATCTCAGAAATATATATATATATATATATAACTGTCCGATCAAGGTAAATAAAATAATATATATATATATATATATATATATATATATATATATATATATATATATATATATATATATATATATAGGCTCCTGAAAATTTATTTCGGTTGAGTTCTCTGTGCAGGAAATGTGGGTTTGTAAACAGTGACTATTACAGCTCATATAGCAAGACGCTTCGGCAAGCGAATCGAGTCCTCTTTGTTAGAAAAAAATGAATACGCTAAAATTCGACGGCTTAGTGGTAGAATATCCGACTGACGCCAATTCATTCGGGTTTCCATCCTAGCAAGAGGCAAACGGACATTTATCCACACTGAATAAAAGCGAGACAGTTTTCTGTGGATGACAATATATTTATGAAAATATTTATTTTACATTGCCACATAGAATTTTCTGTTTCGGTTGTTTAAAGTTTTTGTCCTATTATCAGGCAATGTTACCTAACATTGCTTGATGACGGGACAAAAATTCCCGAAACATAGAAATTTCCGTCTCGCGATATAAAATATTTTTCAAATAAAAATAATATTAAAATATTATGTTCTTTGTTATACTGAGGATTTTTTAAAAAGTAAATGCTAAAAACTGTGGATTCTTAATCTGTCTGTTCTTTCTCTTTATTTGTATATATATATATATTTTTTTTTAAAGATATTTTTGTAGGTACAAAATTTAATGATCGAAATAAAAATATAAAACTTAATATTACGAGACATATTAAAAAACGGGTGAAGCAACTGGTTTCGCTCCCCGCTCTTCAGGCTTCAACAGGAGATTTAATTTAATATTAAACACAGAAAAATGTACAATAAAAGGAAGTTGTGAAAAAAAAAGGGTTTTTCACAACTTCCTTTTATTGTAAATTTATCTGTGTTAATTTTAAATCTCCCGTTGAAGCCTGAAGAGCGGGCGCGAAACCGGTTGCTTCTCCCGTTTTTGTTTTTTTAGTTTTTGTTTTTAAATATGTCTCGTAATATTAAGTTTTATACTTTTATTTCGATCATATATATATATGCATGTGTGTGTGTGTGTGTGTGTGCGCGCGCGCGTTTCTATATAGGTAAGAATATAAATACTGGCATATGCACATAAATTCAATCAATAATAAATAAAAATTTAATTATAAACCTAACCTCTTACAATTAATATTTTAAGTACTTTAGATACCAACAAATGAAACAAGAAATCGAAATAATAGCCACGTGGGGACTTATAAAAAATATTTATCATTTAAACATTAATATCATTTATTTGTGAAAAAAAAACGAAATGCAACTGTCCTAAGTTAAGAAAAGTCGAGAGCGCTCCAAAATTAAAAACGGTAACAAGTCTGGTAAAAACAACGGAAACAAATAGCAACAGACAGATACAATTGAAAGAAAAGAGGAAAAGGAGAAAAAAGAAAAGCTAAGAAGTGAGTATAAAGTCGAGTGAGAAAAAACGAAGAAAAGGTCAAATAATGAGGACGCCGTACATCGGCGGAAACGGCCGGACATTCGCGAACGTACAGACGGCCGCATGACTGCACGCCTGTAAACGCACACAAAAATACGCGGAAAACATACTTACCCCAAAGATAAATGCATAAAAATAGAAAATCGAGAAATACAAGCAGTGAATCGCTGATGAATGGACGACAGCAATACCTCCCATATAACGGTAAGATATTCTCTACTTGAAGACATATCGTATTTGACGGCATATAATACGCACTTTTTTTTTTACCAAAAATATCTTTTCAAATCCACCTGCGTCTTATATGCCATATGTAGGTTTAAAATTCGCGATAGTTGGCCGAAATTAGCTACCTGACAACTCCTTTTAGCTTAGACTT